AATCTGGGAGATGTATCCCCCTCAAGAAAGCAAATCTCCTTTGGGCACCAAAGAGGCTTTCTCGACCCTGTCTCCAAGAGGGGTTGGATTCCCCTCGGTCAGAAAGGATCTGCACTGGTCTCCCAGTGCCCCAGCTAACAAACTCTGAAAATTGGAGGGGTGGCAAGCAGTCATTGCAGGTTGGCTGAGGCTGGGCGATGAGGATACGGGAAGCCACGGTGCTCAGAGTGATGCCGAGCTGTAGATGGGTGTTGAGCACTTGCCTTTCCTCATGCTATTGTTTATGCTAAACATGCTGCCCAAGGAGAAAAATATTCAATTAGACCTGCAGGAACCCAGATCAACTGGTGGGGATTTGTGTGAGCCCTTTAGGAAGCATTCAAAGTCCAATGAGATGCGTAATTGCTGTTTGGCTTTCCTGGGTTCATTCTGCTCAAGGTTAATTACGCAATGCTAATGGGATCGGGGCTCGCTGCTGCCAGGCTGGCTGGGCTTGACCACAGCAAAAACGAGTTTCTTGTAAGATGACGGGAATAACTTGCGGCAGGGGAAGCTCATTTAGTCAGACACTCTTCTGGTCTCTCTGTTTGTATTACTGATGATCGCTAATGGGAAGCAGACCTTGAAGGTGTGCTGGTTTTCTGGCAAGCCTCAAATAAGCAGGCAAGTGTCTTTAATCTCCTGAAAATGTCCTTCATCTGCTTTCTGCTGAGTGAGAGAGAACAGGTCCAGCACTGCTCACAGACCAAAGGCCACTCTTGCACAGCAGCAGGAGAGCTCGGAGATCTTCTCTGAGGAGCAAGAAGCACTTTTTCCCTTTTGGGAAGGACCCACCACCTTTACACCCCATGGGTACTCTGAGAGGGATGCTGGCAAGGATACATACCCTGGTCCTTGGGGTATGTATGACATATCCCTCGGGATGCATGCAGGCACTCCAGTGCTGCTCCTTCTGCCCACCTCTTGGTACCGTCCCTCCCATTGCTGGTGCTGGAGGCTGACATTTTGGGAAGGCTGGAGCGTGGGCAAGGTGCCCAAAGTGACAGCTTTCACGATAGAAGGAAAATGTCACTAGAAGAGCGTGCTGCCAAGCCGTGTGCCCGACGGATGCAGGAAGGGGGAGCGAGCAGGCAGGCAGCACCTCCCTGGGTCTGGGTCCTGCCAGAGGTGGACCGAAGCCCAGGCCTGGTTTGAATGTCCCTGCATTTCTGACTCTGCATTTCTTAAATCCGTTTGTACTTGAGTGATGCAAAAATCTTCTGCTCTCTAATCAGGAGCGTGAAACCCGGAGCCTTGCTCCTCCCCACCCCCGGGGTTGGTCCTGCTTTCTGCGGTGGTTCCCTCTCTCCGCACATTGCATCAAACCCCTGGTCTCCAGCAGCACCTGCCCTCCTCCTCACCTGGCTCCTGAGATCTCTCCGTGTATATATATGTATATATATATACACACATACACACATAAATACTTATATTTTTATATATATACGATCTATTTCCCCTTATGGGAGGAAAATTCTCCTGCTTCCCCAAAACCTACCTGTTCCTCCAGGAAAGAGCAGCTGCCACGTTTCTCCTTGCAGTCACAGCAGGATCAGGTTTGTCTGACTCGGTAACAGTTCCTTAATATTCACCACAGTAACGTAACGAACATATTAATAAGCACAGGTAGCTCTATATTTTACAGCTCCTCGACCTCACCCTGGGCTGCCCGCTTCAGACACAGTGGTCCTTTGTTCGGGAGGAAATTCTGATTCATTCCCCATTAGCATTTTTATAGTACTGTGCATGTTGAAAGAGCCACACGAGTGGCTTAAGAGGTTAACGCGAACCTTGGGTTAATTCATAATATTGTTAGTTACTAGCACAATACTCGCATTAATTCAGCTGACTGCGTCTCACCACGTTGGGAGACGCATGCTGAAATCAGCAGGGAGCACAGAAAACAAGCGTGGGAGTAGGATATTAAGTATTTTGCTGGCCTGCTAAGGTAGAACCTGAGCACCTTAAACGGATTTATTTTCCCACTGCCTTCAAGGACAGCGTTACCTGGCTCCGCAGATGTGGAGCTGAAGCACGGAGGAGGCTGTGCCCAGCATCCCTGCAGGCCTGGGAGTGTGAGGGAGGGGGCTACAAGCCCTCCAAGGGGCACTCGAGCCACGTCCATCAGGACTCAGCCCCTACCTGCAGCCACCTCGTTCTCCTGGGTCTATTCAAACTGTCCAAAGCAGAAAGAGCCGCTTTTTTGCCTTTGATACCTGCTGGTGTAATTGCAGTGCTGGACTGTGCGTGCCTGCCATGAGAGCCCCCGCAAGACTTTTCTCTGTGGGGATATAGCCTGGAGCAGCTGGTGCAGAAGCTCAGCTTGGGAACTAGCTCCCTATGCGGATGCTTTTGCCCCGCACTTGGGAAGAGAGCTGAGCCGAATGGCTTAAAGCCAAATAAAAGCCCAGACAGTAGGAGATAGTGCTGAACGGCCGCTACGCATTCATTCCTTTTGCTTACTCTTCAGAAGCTTTGCTATGCAAAGAAACTCTAAGAAGGGAGCCTCAAAACCCTGCTGCGTTCCTCCCCATCTGTTCCTTTCGTCCGACTCGCAGATTTGTGCCTTTCCCTGCAGTGCGTTCGGCCAGCCAGCCCACAACTGCTGCCTAACCTCTTCCCTTTCCAAAGGGCCCCCGATAGCCCATCTGTTCCAAAAGATGTTTTCGTCTGCAGACGTACAAGCCTTTTAATGACACACTACTCTTTAGACAGCATCAAATACCTCTAGGTTTTCTGGCTGGCATGATACCTACCCTAAACTGACATATATACGGTACAACATTATATATAACATGTTGAGGTGGACCAAAAATGGGCAAATATTCCCAGGAACCCCATGCATGTCTCAAATCCCAAGCTGCTGCATTGGAATACCAAGGAGTAAAGTACTATGAAGTAGATGAATCTGCTGTGCAATAAATTGTTAGTTTATGTATATTTTAATTGCAAATCAACGCTATAATTAGTACGTACATTTCTTGGGCTGAGGCAACGCAGTGTGCTTTAACAGCGAGCATTATTAACGGACTGTAAAAGGCAACGGGGAATTGCATTATAATGTTCTTGTTTTGCAAGCTGTATGGCAAATAAATAAATTTTTCTGGCAGCAAAATTAACAGGAATAAATGCTTCTAGCTCCATCCACCAAGAAGAGAGGTTGCTATAAATGAACTTGTTCTCAGTCTTGGGTTAGAAAACCTGATTACCAGATCATTATTTCTGGCAATTAGGCACCAGAACAACATCAGAGAAAGAAGAGATTTTC